CTTGAGATCAAAAGAGGCAAGCAGAGTGTGGAAGTCTGCAGCCTGAGGTTTATCTAGGTGGATGTTGAAGTCTCCAAGCATAACTAGGGGAGTACCATCCTCAGGAAAGGTTGAGAGCAGCACATCTAATTCATCCAAGAAGTTCCCTTGTGGTCCTGGGGGTCGATAAACAACTACAAAATGGATTTTAAAAGGGTGGGTAATAGTGACTGAATGTGATTCAAATGAGCTGTTAATACCCAGAGAAGGTACAGGAATACATTTCCAATCATTAGAGATAAGCAGACCAGTACCTCCACCTCTTCCAGTCAGACGGGGAGTGTGAGAAAATGAGAAATTATTGGAGTGTGCTGCAGACGTAGCAGTGTCCTCTGGTTTGATCCAGGTCTCTGTCAGGGCCATGAGGTTTAGTCTTAAATGATTAGCAATAGATTTAATGAAATCTGCTTTGTTTACTGCAGACTGGCAATTCCAGAGACCAATAGGAAAAAAAGTAGTGTATTAGCAGACATTGTCAAAGAGCATTTGCCATTCATTATTTAACAATGAATGGAAAAACAGTAAAGTAAGCTTGCTGATCTCACCACAGAAACGAGGGCGCGCAGGTCAGTGTTGCCAACTAATTTTCAGGGGAAGTTGCTAAAGGAAGGTTGATTTGTTGCTAAAAGTTGCTAAATGACGTTGTGATGTCATTGCACGATATCATCCTCACGTAATCACAATGCAAATTTGTTTCACTGCATCAAATCTCAACAACAAAAATATATGTTAATTTAGATTTGTTTGAAAAATAATACAAATGTATAATGCAATATTAAAATATAAACAACTAATTTTAAACACAACATTGAATTATTTAATTTGTTTGTTTTTTATTAGCTAGTAAACTAGTAAAAGTGCACATTCTGAACAACTGTAGTTTTAAGCAGTGTGTAGCCTATTATTAGTAGTTAGTTAGTAAGTTACACTCTAATAAAAGTCTGTAAAAGTAGGGCACAATCTACTACGTTAATATGAAGAAATTTTCCGTAATTATTTTTCAGTTTTTTTTTTACCTGCATTTTAAATTACACATTGTATTTTGTGTTTTGGGGATACAGGGTTACAACGGATAATGGAAAATGGATAACAGATAATGTCTTGGAAAATTTAAATCTGCTTTGCAACGATTTGTATCGTGAAAAGTGCTATACAAATAAACTTGAATTGAATTACTAGAACATTTTTCTAGATATTTTTTTTTTTTTTACAGTATATTGATTAATATTGATCAGTTGCAGGTACAAGCTACTCACAAGGTGTTTCATAAATGAACAGTTATTTAGTTATTAAATTATTATTAAATTGATAAAAATTGCAAGTAACAGTCTGTTAGTCTGAGAAGTTGCTAAATTTGGCAACAAAATGGCTAAGTTGACAATACTTTTCTTTCTTTTTTT